GCTTTTAAACAAACATGCCTGTTGGCAGTGAACCAAAGTCCATGAAGCCAGTTTCAATGAGGTTAAAGCCTTGCTTACATCCAATGCGATGTTAGCTCACTTTAATGAGAAGTTACCAGTGTGCCTTGCCTGTGATGCTTCTCCCTATGGTGTGGGAGCTGTGCTTAGCCATCTGATGGCTGATGGGACTCAGGTCCCTATGGCATATTATTCCAGGACCTTGTCTGCTGCTGAGAGCAACTATGCTCAAATTGACAGGGAAGCTTTGGCTACTGTGGCTGGAATTAAAAAGTTCCATGATTTTATTTATGGCCGCCATTTTACGGTCTTTACTGACCATAAGCCTTTGCTGGGGTTGTTTACCACGTCCAAACAGACCGCACACATCCTTTCCCCTCGCATGCTGCGATGGTCCATTTTTTTGTCAGCTTATGACTACACGCTAGTTCACAAACCTGGAAAGGAAATGGGTCATGCTGATGGCCTAAGTAGACTGCCCTTGCCAGCTGTGGAGCCTGCTCCTGCTCCTGCCGTTCATATCCTGTCCATTCAGGATTTGCCTGAGTCTCCCCTAAACGCTAGGGATGTGGCTGCTGAAACCGCCACTGATTACACGCTTAAATGCGTGCTAACATGGGTGCTGTCAGGATGGCCTGACAGGTGCCCAGAGGAGGAGTTCCAACGCTTCTGGGTCAAGAGACACGAGTTGTCCACTTTCAATGGCTGCCTCCTCTGGGGTTCTAGAGTTGTAATTCCAGCCTCATTGAGGTCTAGAATCTTAGTTTCTTTACATGAGTGTCACCCTGGGATTGTCAGGATGAAAGCACTTGCGCACAGCCATTTGTGGTGGCCTGGCATCAATAAGGCCATTGAGGCCCAGGTACATGGGTGTCACGAGTGTCAGCAGTCCAGGCCTGAAATGCCCCAGGCCCCTGTTCATAGGTGGGAGGAAACACACACACCGTGGTCTAGAATACATATAGATTACGCTGGGCCCTTTCAGGGGCAATTCTTCCTGGTTGTTGTGGATAGCTATTCCAAGTGGCTGGAAGTTGTTCCTGTGTCATCCACCACTACTGCCAAAACTATCCAGGTGTTGAGAAGTATTTTTGCTGCCCATGGTCTTTCAGATGTCTTGGTTTCGGATAATGGTTCCCAATTTACTTCTACTGAGTTTCAGGCTTTTCTACAGGCCAACATGATTCGCCATGTGACTTCAGCTCCCTTCCACCCTTCCACCAACGGTTTGGCTGAACGGATGGTCCGCATCGCCAAGGATGCTCTCAAGAAACTGACTTATGGCAACTGGCATCACAGGTGGGCTGACTTTCTTCTAGCCCATCATACTACTCCTTGCACTGCCATGGGTAAGAGCCCGGCTGAACTCCGTTGGGGTCGCCGGCTTGTGACTAAACTGGACAGGCTGCATCCGGAATGAGTAGCTTCACAGGTGTCACATCCACATGCACCACGGATCCTTCACGTGGGTGATCCGGTCTGGACCAGGAACTACGGGCCTGGACACCTCTGGGTCCCTGCGGTGGTCTGCAAGGTCTCGGGGCCTTTGTCCTATGAAGTGTCTTTGGATGACGGTCGCGTACTTCACCGCCATATTGATCAGCTGCGTGCGAGGCTGGATTCTTCCCCTCTCACTCCTCGGCCTGCTCTGGGGGGAGGGGGGAGTGCATTCTGGGGATCAGTATCAACAACCGACACTGGCTGTTGAGGACACCATGGGTACTCAATCTCCAAGTTCAGCAAGTGCTCCAAATAGGGATTCATGGGGCAGGGGGCAAGCATACACCCCCACACTCACTCCAGCCTGGGAGTCACACCGGAGGTATCCCCACTATCCACAACTCAACAACAATACTCCAGACAGGGAAACTGACCGGGAGCATCCTCATAACTCACAGCATACAAGAGAGTAGGCACAACAGCTTGGGGGCTTGCCACTTTCAGCAATTGCTCCCAGAAGGAAGTCCACATGCATTAGGGCTAACAGGGAGGTAACTCCTGACCCTATCACTACAGAAAGGAGCCAGGGGAATTACACCCCTTCAGGGGACAAGGAGCTGAGTTCAGAGGGCTCAGCCAGCCTACTAACAGGCAGGTCGACCAGGTACGGGGGACAGCAAAGTCCTGGGCTCCTGAGCCTGGTAGGCGAGCAGGGAGGTCAGGCAGTAGTCACAGGGCAGCCTGAGATAAGGGGGCAGCCGCATTTTAATCCACCTAGTGTGGAAAGCAATGGAGGGGACCATTCAACCTCCCCAGGTCCGAGAAGGCCGCTACAGGTCAAGGGCCTGCCCAAATACCTTGCAGATTACGTGAGGTGAGCAAGGGTTAGAGGGACCTGGACAAGAGGTCCAGGTTGGTTAGTCTCACATGGGGAAAGCTTGGGGTTCATTTATTCCCAAAACGGTAGCAGTACCCATGCTTTTCCACACTCTGTGCATTTGATGCAAAAGTCAGCAAACACATACTCTACAAGAGGTGGCGTACATGTTGGGCGCAGCATTGTCTTATCTAGGGGGGAGGGGTGTTGTGTCCTGAGCCTGCAGAAGCAGGCTCGGGATGCTGCAAGAGTCCCGGGCATTGCAAAAGCTGCCCGGGACCAGACTGAGCAGCACATGCGCAAGGCGGGAAAAAGGGTGCCTGCTATTGGTTGTTGTTTCCCGGGGATCCGGGAGTATAAAAGGAGGCCTGCATGCCTCTGCTCTTGTTGGTTGGTTGTTGTGACTGAGAGAAATAAAGATCTGTTCTGTAACATGAATTGCCTCCTTCGCCATTTATCCAAGGACTTAACACGGACGTTGGCGATCATGTTGGCGATCCTGTTTTTATCAGCAGCTGCACGAAAAAGTGCTACTGAGTTTTGTCCAAACCAGTCCCTTAGATTTTGAAGCCATGATGTTCTTCTTCTTCCCGGACCTCCTTTGCCTTCAATCTTTCCCTGGAGGATTAAATGCAGTATGCCATATTTTTCTGGGTGTTGCATCACATGTCTGAAATATTCTAATTTTCATTTTTTAATTGCTTTGATGATTTCCCCTTGGCTTTCCCAGGCGGCTTATCACCTCCTCATTTCTGATCTTGTCAACCCAGCTTATACGTAACAGCTGCCTGTAAATCCACATCTCAACTGCTTCTAGTCTCTTCAGGTGGCCTTCTGTCAGAGACCAACTCTCTACTCCATAGAGCAGGATAGGAAAAATATAGCATCTGACAAGCCTGATTTTCAGTCTTAGGCTTATGTCATGACTGCAGAAGACCTTTTTCATTTTGAAGAATGCTGTTCGAGCTTTTTCTATCCTTGTCTTTACTTCAACGATCATGTCCCAGCTTTCATGTAAATTGGAACTGAGATGTGTGATCCTTTCAACTTTTTCTAGTGGTATTCCTTCTGAATTTATTGGTGGTAAATTAACGGGATCTTTACTGAATTACAGTTCGTAAATTCTTGGGATTGGTAGTTGACTCCTGTTGGCTCTGCCTTTATTAGATGACTAGATAGGATGCAATCTCTCTTGCCTTCTTTTTCAATGTAAAAAAGAAATGTCAGAGTTTTATCATAAGATAACTGTATTCAATGCCTTTTTCTTCTTTCTGGTATTTCAGTGCAGAAAGGAGTGGCACCTCAAACAGCACATGGCAAGGCTGTGATGGTAGTTGTGCCAATTATTTTCATAGCCATCGGTGCAGGAATCGCAGCCTATATTTTCTACAGAAGAAGAAACCGACCACAACAAGTCTCTGCTGGATTTGACAATTCTTTGTATAGTGACAGTGTGGTTATTCTACATAAGGATTCACAATCTCCTGTAGACAACCAAGAATTAAATGAACAAATATAATCGGCAAATGGCACAGTTGTGGTGAAAGTTTTCTCAGTTATCTTCATATTCATTGGTGCTGTACAGAATCTGCAGCCTATATTTTGTACAAAAGAAGAAATAGACCACATGTTTCTGCTGGATTTGACAATTGTTTGTAAAGTGACAAGATGATTATTCTTCATAATGATTCACAATCTCTTATACAAAACAAATAATAATTTAACAAATACAATTGGCACCCTATCCAAGGGTAAGACCCATTGGATGCTATACATTCAAAATTTAAGATACTGGATTACACTGTTTATAAATTTATATGTTGCAATATTTGAAAAAGTTTAGATCCTATCAACAATGTAAATTGGCCAGACCTGTGATATAAAAAAATGAATTTATTACAGTTACTGATTAAAAATATTCTGAATAGTGTACTTTCAAATTAGAGATTTTTTTTAAAAAAATATAAGGATAATTTTTTAATTTACTGGAAACCAAGGGGCTGTGAGAATTCAGTAGATATTTTAAGCTTAGGCTTACCTTTTGTCAATATTTTAAAAAGAAAAACATAGAAGCTTTTTTTGTACACTGCATTTTATAGCCCCTGGGCTACAGCTGAACTTTGATTGTCCCTGTCTGGCTCATGTTTGGTCAATTGGAAGTTAGAAAATGAAATGTAAATAGATGTGGAAGAAGAAGCCAAGTTCACTCCTTTAGTTGGCTGGTGAAAGCTTTTTTATGTGCCTGCACCAGAAGAGCAGCAGTCAGGCTGAGGCAAGGTTAGGTGAGGTGTGGCAAGGCTCCAAACTCCCTCATCTTCCAACACTTGGGTGCCAGCGGCAGAATTAAGACTCGGGCCTCCATAACAGTCCTAGTTTCTGATGTTGTCCTTTGGGAAAATTAATTGCCTCCCCTGGCATACACAGTATACAAATGTTTTTATTAAAGATCTACTACAATGAATTGCAAATGGTTCATTAAATCAGTTATGATTCCTTTAGTTGCCCCCATCAAACCAACTTTATATAAGATTTCAAAATGAAATGTTATGCCATCTAAATCAGTGTTTGAAATATGAAATCACAAGTACTAGTGTTTCCTGTGTATGGAATCAAAGCCTCTACATGTCTAACGTGTTTAAAAGGTCTTTTTCTTTCCCTTATGTGAGAGTCAACAAATTTCCAAGAACAGCCCACCTTAATGCCCAGATAAAGCCTTCTTTTACCTCACAGCCAGCAAGTTTGAACATGAAGTCCATACATTTTCAGGTTGTGAGGGAAGACAAACCCTGGTCCTAGAACTAGTGCTTTCTTAGATTCAGCCCAACCCATCTCATAGGGTTGTTGTTGTGAGGGATAAGAAGAAGGTTTGTTGGATATGTTCACTGCCTTGAGTTATTGTAAATATATATATTTACGAGATGGCTTTTATTTGAAGCTAGGAGACATTCTGCTGATGCTCAATATCTGAGCCTTTCTTTATGAGTGGTCTCCTTAGGACCTGGCTGTTCTTGGGGTAAATAGAAACTTGCAAATAGAAACACAATGATGCACTGTCATGGCTCTTGCTGCATTCCTCTTATCTTTTGGATGCAGAAGAAAAGCACTCAAGGCAGCATAAATTGTGATGGGGTCAGGACAAGGCCATTGCTGTTGGAGAGAGGGAGACTAGTGACAAAAAGGGATTGCAAGGTCATTCATGCTGTAAATGGTATATTTATGCAACCATCATCTCTTTGTTACTCCCAGAATTCTGTTTATGGACCAGAGGGCACTTTTTCATGATCATCAAATTAACTGGCCAAAGGCATGGTTTAAGCATGTTGGGTAAACTATTATTTATTTGCATAGCACAAACTCTTGAGCCCTGAGTTACAGTTTACAACTCACAATAGTAGGATTATCACAAAATACTAAATCAAATGAAACACATTCTGATTTAGGGGAATGACAAAGCTGGCCATTATAAATTTTTGTGTACTACCTGACTAAGCCGAATAGAATGCTGAATGATGATATTTTATTATGAAAATATTTAGATTATCTGTTAGCCTGACCTAGTAATCTGCATTTATTTCCAACCTACTATATTTGTTTGTTGATATGTTCAAGATACAAATCAGAGATTAAAATGAGTTGAAAGAGTATCAACAATCTCTGACAAGATCAGAGGCTCTTTTTTCGTCTTTCTTTCATTCCACAACAAATGACCTTATGAACAACAACTGGGTTGTAATTTATTGAAGCCATAATAGAGTTCCAGAGAAAAAAAAGCTATAAATGGTACAAGCCACTTATTTGGGTAATGAAAGGTTAGTTTAGTTTAATATGATATAATAACCCTTGCATTTGAATGTGTAATAGGATCTCCATTCAGAAAAACTAGGCTAAAAGGTTACCAGTTATCTTCTGTTTACTGAAGTTTGATCAGTAGACCTTTCTATCAGAACCAAGGACACAGACGTTTGAAACTTCAAATAGGAACTCTGAAGGTCACTGCATTGTTCAACTAATAACAAACATTCACAATATTATGTCAAGTATAGTAGTGCTCAACTTACGACCACAATCAAGCCCAAAATTTCTGTCGCTAAGCAAGACAGTTGTTAAGTGAATTTTGTCCTATTTTATGACCTTTTCTTGCCACAGTTGTTAAGTGAATCACTGCAGATGTTAAGTTACTAGCATGGTTGTTGCGTGAATCTGTCTTCCCAATTGATTTTTCTTGTCAGAAGGTTGCAAAGATGATCACATGACTCCAGGGCAGTACAAATATCATAAATATGAATAGAAGAGAAATAACAGAGTTGGAATGGACCTTGTAGGTCATCTAGTCCAACCCCCCGCCCAATCAGGAGACCCTACACCAGTGATGGCGAACCTTTTAGAGACCAAGTGCCCAAACTGCAACCCAAAACCCACTTATGTATCGTCAGGTGCCAGGTTGGTGTGGCCCATTGGGTGGGCGTGGCTGTGGTGGTAACGGCAGACTGGGGGGACTAAGAAGTTCAATCAATCAATTCTAACTTTGCAAGATCTTTTTTTCCCCGCAAGAAGTTGAAATTGATTATTGATTGATTGAACCTTTTTTTTGCACATGGCGGTGGAGGCCAAAAGCGAAAAGGTTTTATAAAACCCTGCTGAAGGTCTAGGACTGGGGCAACTGCACATGTGCCCACAGAGAGGGCTCTGCGTGCCACCTGTAGCACGCGTGCCATAGGTTCATCACCACGGCCCTACACCATTTCTGACAGATAGTAGTCCAGTCTCTTCTTGAAAGTTTCCAGTGATGAAGTTCCCACAACTTCTGAAGACAAACTGTTCCACTGGTTGATTGTTCTCACTGTCAGGAAATTTCTCCTTAATGAGTCAGTTGCCAAGGGTCTGAATTTTGATCATGTGACTATGGGGATGCTGCAATAGTCATAAGTGTAAAAAACGATCATGTCACTTTTTTCAGTACTGCCGTAACTTTGAATGGTCACTAAATGAACTGTTATAAGTCAAGGACTACCTGTAATTCATATAAAATATGTACAAAAAGATATGTACTACAGGTGTTAAGTTAGTCGCACAGTTATTAAGTGAATCCATCTTCCCCATTGACTTTGCTCGTCAGAAGGTTGCAAAAGGTGATCACATGACTCCAGGACAGTACAAATATCATAAATATCAGTTCGTTTGCTATCAATTAGTTTGATTTAACTATTTGGGACCTTAGTATGAGCACAGCAACATGACAGTCATTTATACAGTTACTATCTGGTCAAACCAGAGAAAAGATATGAGACATGGTGGTCTTTTGTGCTTTCTGGCAACAGGTTTAATACAGTATATTAGAAACCAGCATAATATGCTGTTAAACTATTCACTCAGTAAAGAAAACATTCACTCATTAAGAAATGATTAAGACATAAGGGAAACCATTTGAGTTTACATTCTTTACTGAAAATTTGGCTCTTTTAGTTTAAGCAATTAAAAAGTACAAAATTAAAGTCAGGATTTGTTCTTTTTTTTCTCTTGAGACATTAAAACAAACTAACACAAGCAATAAGGCATGTGTAAGTACTTGCATTACCTCTTTGTCAATCAGTAGGAAGTAACGACCAATAGTATAACTTTAGGGAGTGGGAATGAGACACACAATTAATAGATGGGGATGAACAAGGGAAAAAAGAAGCCAGAGGGATATCTGTAAAGTATGGCCAAAAAAATTAAGATGGTGGCTGTGGCAGTGCAATAAAAACTCCACGTTTTTTTATCTGTATTAGGTTAAAAAATAGGCAAAGATTTAACTGCACCATTATACTGCCTCTGTGATTGTTTAGTATGTTACATACATGACAAGATTGCCCAATCAATACCTTCTGAAAGGAGGTAAATATTCTAAATTTAAAAAGGGGGGCATACATACCCCTGCAAAAAACACACACCCTAAAACAGAGATCCCCAACTTTTTGGGCACCAGGGACCGGTTCCGTGGAGAGAGGTTTTTCTGTGGACTGGAGGGGGCGTGGTTTTGTGTGCTGTCTGCATCCCACAGATGGGGCTTTGCTTGTTTGTGTGGACCGGTTGCTGGCATGCAGCGGACTGATTCTTGTCCATGGACCAGGAGTTGGGGACCGGGAGTTGGGGACACTAAAAGAAAATGTATAAATGCTATAAAAACAATCAGGAATGCATGTTGCTTTTTAGCTGGATAAATCCAATTTCAATATTATGTATTTTCATTCTTAGTTAGGGAAGAAAGATATATGCATGAATAAGAAAGAAAGAAAACCTTCATTACATTCTTACAAGATAGTCTGAATTGAGAAGCATTGACCAATTAAGTCCTGTTATGCTCTGCACAAACTTCTTTGACTGCTCTAAAAACTGAGTATCATTTTTTGGTATTGTTGAAAGAAAAGTCTTCATCATAGTTCAGTCCAAGCCATGCGCTGGGGAGGTGTCACCCTTTGTGAGGAATGAAGAAATGCACCATCGCCTGGAAGTGGCCATCAAATGGTCCTTGTCTACTTCACATATCCGGCTTGATGGGCTCCGGGGGAGGGGTTTCAGCAGGCAATGGGGCGCTGTCCTCACAGTGCCGAGAGGCTGAGCCAGGCAGCGCGAATCCAAAAAGAAGCGTGATGTCACTCAGCCCCCAGCCTGCCCAATTTTGGCAGGCAGCAAAGTGCAAAGCTGGCGAGTTTTGCATTGCCCGGCTCAGCCTCTCGACACTATGAGGAGAGCGCCCCGCTGCCTGCTGAAACCGGGCAGGCTGGGGGCTGGACGGCATTGTGCAGGTAACGTCAACTCTCATGTTGCTCATGGCATCCCCTCCCCCAAAGCCCACCAAGCCAGATATATGAAGTAGGCGAGGACCATGTGCTGGCCACTTCCAGGCGATGGTGCATTTCTTCATTCCTCACGAAGGGTGACACCTCCCCAGC